GCTTAAGAAGTCTTCAGGGAACACCAGTTTACCAAACTTTTTGGACTGGCGAGTTGTTTATTGCTGACATACAGAGATCCACATCAAAATGTCTAAGCGATAAATAAGAGCGAGACTTCCATTCCCCACTTTCAGCTCCTCCAGCCTCTCTTCCCCAAGGGGACCTGTCCCTTTTTACCAGTGTGTGTGTGTGTGTCGCAGAGTTAGGCGAGGGCTCAGGGCCGGCCATTCCCGCTCAGCTTCACCTGCTGCTGCACAGGGTTCTGGTGGAAACAAACCAGGCCCAGGAGCACGAGGAATCTCACTCTAAACTCCTAGGAGGAGGGAGCCTCAGTAAAAGTGGGACACGCACATCTCCGCTCCCCAGCTGCCTGCCTTCTTCTGAGTCCACGGAGAGGGGGGGGGGGAAGCGGACTCAAGCCTGGTGTGCCTCGAAATGCACAAACCAAGAGAGCAAAGCCTCTTGACACTCCTCCACGTTAAATGATATATCTCAGAATGGCCTAACAGGACCAGACCAAGTTATGCTTAACCCAGAATTCTCTGTGCGAATCCCCAAATGAGCAGGCTCAGGGCCCCAGAATTCTTCGCACCTCAAGACATACAAACCTCCAGTCCTACCTATTCCCTGTCAACTGGCTGGATAAAATTCCACATTCTGCCTTCAGCTCTGCTTCAGGGACAGAATCACAGCAACCCCCCCCGTTAATTCTATATTAAGGCTGGTGATCACAACCCAAAAGTTACTGCTTATAATGTTAGGTATGCTCCCAGGCACTGCTTCACACTGTACACTGAGGTTTCCCCTTTATTTTCTTTGCTTTGACTGTCAGGCTGGGGGGTGGTCTGCCCAGGTGAAGTTTCCCTGTGAGTTTGGTGTCACTGGCGTGTTCCTGAACAATTCAATAGACTCTTGTAACTGCATGTGTCTTTTCCAGAGAGCTTGGGGAGAGCTTGGGGGGGTGTCTGTAACCAGGACCCCAGAAATGTAATCCTCCCCCACTTTGAGATATTGTAGAGGATTGGATGGCAGGAGGAGGTTTCATGTATATCTGATGTGTGCAGCTTGCACGGGGTTCATTGTATATACTTTAGAGTCTGCACCTGACATTTTTCCATGGGGGGGGGCATAACTCGGACTCCCCAAATCCAATCTGCACATAACTTGGAGGGTATGTAGAGGAGCATAAATGTATTTATTTGTTCATTTAATTTGTATCCCCCCCCTTCCCAGCAGGCAGGCTCAGGGTGGGTTACAGCAAGCACTAGAGGCAGACTTCCGGCTGAGGCGTCAGGACAGGACTAGAAGGAAACACAGCCTATAGAGGTAACCCAAAGTTATTTTCTCAGGGACAGCTGACAGCAGGGGAAGGAGAGGAAGAAATCCAGGCTGTACTTACATCCTGACTAACCTGTAAAGACACAGTATGGTAACTGGCAGGAACGCTTTCATCCTCCTCCTCTTCATCACTGGGGAAGCGGTGCTGGTGCTGGCTGGAGCCCCTCAAGGGCCTCTCCTTGGCTTTCTTCTTGAAGCGGGCTGTTTTGGGGTCGTACTTATGGCTTTTCCCCCGCTTCTCCTGGGACTTGCACCCTAAACACAACCCTCATAAATGTCAAAAAGGCACCCTTAAGTGGACTTTGGTAAGTTGCTGCCTCCCCAAGAGCTGAAAGGGAATGAGGAATGGGACTGGGGAAGTCTGCCTTTCATTCCAAGGGCCAGGTTGGTAGCAGCACAAAAATTGGGCACCAGAAAGACATCCCCACTGCTCCTGATTCTGCAGTCACTCCAAGGACTGGTGGCTCAGTCCACGCCCCCCACACGCGGGAGCAAACAGCCATGATACTGCTGTGTACAAGCAGTCCACAGACTTCAGAAGAAGCCCCTCTCTGAAGAGCTATTGCATCACCCAGTTCAGGTAAGGGTATATGCACAAACCCAAGGAATATTTAATGCACACACTGCAAGATTTTCTCATCAGAAAGGGGACTGGAACAAATTTATGAAGGCACACAGCCCTTAACAAAGAGCAAACCATCAGGGGATTTTTGCAGACAAAAATTTCATTTCCCACCTCCCCTTAGGGGTGAGGGGGAGAACATTAACACCCACTTTACTAGAAAAGGGCTATTCCCCGCAAAGAAGTTTTTAGTCCAGAGAGATGAATCTCAAGAGCGCCTCTCCCTTGCAGGGAACGTCAGTGGTTCCCGCTCTCCCCCTTCTCCCACCCACCTGTAGGACCACAAGCCACAGAACTGTTGGTCTTTGGGGGGGAGGGGGGATCTGCAGATTTAAATGTGTTGACTATTAATACTTCATGCAATCAAAAAAACACATAAACACATGTCATGGGCCCAAATGGTACATTTACAACATCTGCCATGGGCCCAACATATTAATTTACAAAATTTATGCCTCGCTCTTTTGCCATTATCAGGGCCACCAAGGAACCTAACAAATCAAAATATACACGATACAAGTGGGGACTCGCAGGGAACTTGTGGGAGCAGCTATCCCATTCTCCCCACCTTTGCTTCCTCCCCTCTCCCCCTATTTCTCTCTCAGTCTCTCTCTTTGCTGCCCCCTTCTCTTACTCTCTCTCTCTCTCTGCCTCCCACCCCATTCCTTTCTTTCTGCCCCCTCACTCTCCCAGCCACCCGCCCATTTCTTCCCCCCTCACAGCAACAGCAGCAGCAGCAGTGGCACTCCTATCCATCCACCTGCTCCACCCCCCCCCCCAGCAGCAGCAGCAGCAGCAGCAGCTCTCCTGGAATCATAATGGATCTCCTAGCTACAGAAATCAGTTTTCTTTAGGGTTGCCAGCTCCAGGTTGGGAAATTCCTGGAGATTTGGGGATGGAGCCTTGGGAAGGTGAAGTTTGGGGAGAGATAATGCTACCCCCTCCACCCTGCAAATCAGCCATTTTCTCCAGGGGAATTTATCTCTGTCATCTGGAGATCAGTTTTAATTCCAGGAGCTCTCCAGCCCTCACCTGGAGGATGGCAACACTAGTTCCCCTGGAGGAAACAGCTGCTTTGAAGGCATTATACTCTTCTGAGATCCCTCCTCTCCTCAAACCCCACCCTCCCCAGGCTCCACCCCTCCCAAATCCAGGAAATTCCCAACCTGGAGTGGCCAACCCTATCTCCTTCCTCTGTAACAGCCAACGTACCTTTACCTGCCCCTCTGCCTCCTTACTCTCTACAGCCTCTGCCTAGTAAAACAGTGGTCTTTCTTCCCAGGGGGGACCCAAAGCAGCTTACAACAGTCTCCTCTCCTCCCCTTTATCTGGACAACAACCCTGTGAGGTTGGTTGGGCTGAAAGTATGAGACTGGTCCAAAATCACCGTCAGCTTCCACAGCAAGATGGGGATCTGAACCTGGGTATCCCAGACACTACTCTGAAGCTCTAACTGCTACACCAGACTGTCTTTCATAGGGTGGCTGCTGCTGATGAAGCGGAGCAAGCGGCCAGACCTAATTAAGTCATGTAAGTCAGGTGGGTATCAAGTCACCCAGAGGATGCTGCCAGGCCTACAGGTGCCAACTTCCAGGTGGGACACGGAGATCTCCTGGAGTTACAGCTGAGCTCCAGGCCACAGAGATAGGTCCCTCTGGATGAAATGGCTGCTTTGGAGGGTGGACTCTGGCATTCTACTCGGCCGAGGCCTGTCCTCTTCCCAGACCCTGCCGTCCTCCTTGGACTCCATCACAAAATCTCCAGGAATTTCCCAACCTGAAGCTGGTAGCCCTCGCCAGGCCTCAAGGCGTCCTTCCTCAAAGGTCAAAATAGGTCTGGAAGGGGCCCCTCCCCCCTCCTTCTGCTTACAGAATCAAATTTAGAATGATGTGGTAGCCTAGCAACAGCCACCAAGGAACTCCACTGCTTAGTTATAGGCACTTCTGTATACAAATATTGATTTCTAAAAGCCTCCTGCCTTCTCCTGTTCTGTCTTTGATAAGGGCTGTGCCTTGTTTCCTCTTACAAGCCAAATGGGAGGCCAGATGGCCTCAATAGCATGCCATAAACCCACATTCTTTCACACGTTCATGCCAAAAGCCAGACCTGATGGCTGGCTCACAGGCAGGGGCCATGTGACTGCAGGCGTGGTTTCCAGACTTCCAGCCTATCCCGTTGCAACCATGACAACTAAGATTTGGACACACCCCATTCCACTCCCTATTGGCTCCTGGCCAGGGCTAATTTGGGACTGGGATTGGACTATAACTGTTCAGACCCAATGGGAGAGACTCTCTCTGCCCCTTGCTCTTGTTCTGCTCTTGCTTCTGTTGTTGCCTGTTTATTGCGCCTGGCCACGTGCTCTCTGGAGGAGACAAAGGACTGCTTTATGCCTTAGAGCACATGGGGGGCAAAGATGGGATTGTTCCTAAAAATCCCTTGGCACCTAACTGGACTGTATCCTGGACACTTTTGGAACATGGACTCTGTACCGGTAATTATGCATATCTCTAATGTTTAGTTAAGGCAAACAGCCCTAGCTTTTCTTGTTTTGAAATCTTATAGTCTAATTGCAATACTCTGAACTGAATAAAAACTTATTCTTGCTTTTAACTGGTCTTTGATGTTGTAACTGAGATTCCAAGTCTATTTTCCTGCGCCTGGCTGGCTACACGCTACCATTGAGTATTAAGTGTGCATCTCTGAGGAGGTGCTAGTGTGTGCTGTCCCAGAGGCTAACCTAAAGGTTTGGAATCCCTCCCTTGGGGAGAAGCCGGGACTAGTTAAAAAGGGATTCTGGTGGCATATTGTTCTGAATCCAGAGAGGGTAGCCTACCTTTCTGGGTTGTTGTTTAATGTATTGGGAAAGTGTGGGCTTCCCCCCTCATTCCTGGACAGGCTTGGGGGGCAGAAACCTATACAACTTCTTTTATCATTTTCAGGTTTTTTAAAACCCCAATGTATTTTTTTAAGATTTCACATTTTCCTGCAAACCTTGGGGTCCTTTTCAGGTTTGCAGAAGGATCTGTCTTGCCCGTGTGCTGCTCCAGTCACCAGATTTAAGTATCCAAATATTTAGCTGACTTTGCTATTAGTATATAGGCATAACACATGTCATGGGCTAGCAGGTCCATTTACAACATCTGCCAGAATCGAAGCGCTGTCCTTCTGATCCATATCAGCCATGTATGGTACACCCACCACACTGTAAGGTAGCCCTGTCATAGTGTTGGAATGTGAGGGGGGATTTTATCTCCCTCCCGTTCTCAGCGCTTCTCTGCCTAGCGCTCCCGCTATCTGCACATTGGCCTTGAAGATGCTTTGCTGTAATTCCCTGGGCCTGGAAACTGTAACTGCTTTGGGCGCAAAAGTGCTTGCTTGCTGGCAGGGCCCAAAGCGCGCGCGAGAAAACTTCATTGGCTTCACAGGTGTGTGTGTGTGTGGGGAGGGTAGTTTGAATATTCTCTAAGTTAGTAGCCATCTTATTATAGGGCATTCTTAACACAGGCTGTTTACATGTACTTTAGTTCTGTGTGACCATAATAAACATCTTCTGAAGAAGCCTGGGTGTGTGGATTACCTGCCTAAAGTTCCTGACACACACTCACTGTGGCAGCTTTGGAAAAGAATGAACTAGGGCGGGGGGAGTTTGCCAGCATGTGGGGACAACTGAGAAACAGACGGCTCCCCCCCATATTTGTGCGCTCCCTTCTATGACTGAAGTAGAAAGAGGCCCCAAGCACACAGGAAGTGCTGTGTGTCCACCTTGCTGATGGCTGCCCAGAACCCCCTCCGCAGGCTACCCAGGTAACAAGAGGTGGTGAAATCATACGTCTGGAGGCTCACAGCCATCCTCACCTCCATTCAGACTGGCTTCCACAAAGATGCGGATCGTTTTGACACAAAGTTCAAAGTTCTCAGGTGTGACATGGGCAGCATCTCGCACAATGAAAGACAAGGACTCCACACACTTCATCAGAGACTTGGTATTATGTGGGCCCAGATCCAGCCCCACGGTCAGACTGTACTGATTCACCAGGGGTGAGATGCCCAGCTTGCAGAGTCCTGTGATGGCTTTTGGACTGTCCAGGTCATCCTTTCCAACCTGCGGGGCAGAAAGCACTCTGTTTGACAACGCTTCTTAGGCTGCCTTTCCCCACAATTCCCCAGCCTATCCGCTCTGGGCACCTTCTGTCTTGAGACGTGAAATCCCCTAGGTAGACAGACAGCTGGCTCTCGATCACTCCACTGCATCCAGTCTGCAGGAAAGCAGTGGGGGGAAAGCAAGTTTGCCATCTTTACGCATAATCACGCAGTCCTCAGAATTACTCACCACAAGCCAGCCACTGTTCACTACATCCACGTCAGTCACAGAACGATGCATTTTGCCCTGCTTGCTGTGCTCTGCATACACCTCTGAATCAGAAGTGTAGCCACGATCGAGGCTGGATTCATTTGGGTGGTAGATCTCGCTGTCTGACTGGGCCCCTTCAACAAGCAGAGTGAGATAAGGATACAAGAACACACAGGCAAGCAAATGGCCGTGATCACATGGCAATGCTTAAGGACGCAGTACCGGGGAGGCCGAAAATGGAAAGAGAAGGGAGGCCCATCGGGGAAGCTGTGATTCCCCTTAGCCAGACCCTGCAGAGCTGTGAGAGATCTCGCAGGGCCCAGATTTCAGCTCGTAGAGCGTTCCACCAGGCCGGGGCCAGGGCCGAAAAGGATCTGGCTCTGGCCGAGGCCAACCAAATACTTCTTGATCCAGGAACCACCAACAGATCTTTGTTTGAAGAATGTAGTACTCTTGGGGGGTTTATACCAGGAGAGGGGGTCCCAAAGGTATGCTGGTCTCGGACCGTATAAGGCTTTAAAGGTTAAAACTCAGCACCTTGAAACAAATCCGGTATTCAATCTGGAGCCAGTGCAGCTGATGGAGCAGTGGTTGAACATGTGCTTTGAGCGGAGTTCAAGTAAAAACTCATGGTGCCGCATTCTGGACCAGCTGAAGCTTCTGGGTCAGTCTCAAAGGTAGCCCAGCATACAGTGAGTTACAATAGTCTAGTCTGGAAGTGACCATTGCATGGACCACTGTGGTTAACTCAGGGCGAGACAGGAAGAGGGCCAGTTGCTTGACCCGATGCAGATGTAGGAACACCAGTCTGGCAAGGAGGCATCCAGTATCACACGCAGACTCTTCACCGTTGGCACTGGTGTTAAAGGCGCTCTTGACGAGAGTCAAGAGTTGACACCCCAGACCTGGATCTTCCCAGCCCAGCCACAGGACCTCTGTCTTTGTAGGACTTAATTTCCGTCGGCTCTGCTTCAGCCATCCAAACATGGCCTCCAAGCCCGCTGCCAGTTTTTCAGGGGCAGAGTCCAGATGACTGTCCATCAACAGATATAGCTGGGAGCCATCAGCACACTGGTGATGACAACCCAGCCCAAATCTCCAAGCCAGCTGGGCAAGGGGGATAACATTGGGGAGAGAACAGCCCCCTGGGGGACTTCTGGGTGCCTCTGAGACAGCTTCTCCCCAAGTGCCACCCTTTGTGCCCGACCCTGGAGAAAGGAGACAAACCACTTTAGGGTATTGGCCACGTCAGCGAGGCGGTGGGTCAATAGGTAATGATCGACCACGTCAAACGCTGCTGTCAGATCGAGTAGCAACAGCAGCACTGACTGGCCTTGATCCAGGTGTCTGCAAAGATGCAACCACTGCCCTCTCCACCCCACGGCTGAAGCAGAAGCCGGACTGGAAGGGATCCAGGACTGAGGTGTCATCCAGGAAAGCCTAGAGCTGTTCTGCTGTCCCTCTCAACTACCACACACCAGGCGGAATGGAAGGTTCAACACTGGGTGGTAGTTGGCTAGATCGGAAGGATCCAAGGATGCCTTCTTTAAGAGTGGGCGTACCACTGCCTCCTTTAAACTCCTTGGGAAGGCCCCTGTCCCCAAGGACAGGACTGTAATGTCTTCCAGAGGGACCCGTATTCCATCCCCGCTGGCTTTTACCAACCATGATGGGCAGGGGTCCAAGAGGCAAGTGGTAGGCTTCACAGCACCCAGGATCCTGTCGACATCGTCCCAAGAGAGTCAGCTGAACTGGTCCAGAGTTGGACCAGATACATACTGTACCTAAGTTGGCAGGCAGGTCCTAGTGGAGCAACAAGACTCTATCTGCAAAAAAGCTTCTAAAAGCCTCACAGCTAATTGCTAAATTTCTAATATTTTGGGTTCTCTCAGAGAGAGATGTTAGAGACCTGATTACCCTAAATAACTGTGCCAGGCATGAGCTTGCAGCCACAATAGAAGCTGTACGGAATTTCTTCCTTACTGCCATCACTGACATCTCATAGGGTTTCATGAACATCCCATAACATGTTCTTGGAGCTTCACCACAAATCCGTTGCCAGACTCACTCTAGCCACCTGAGCTCCCGCTTCATACCCTGGAGTTCCAGGATGTACCAAGGTGCCAACCTGGGGAGGGAACAAAGAGGGTGCTGGGGGGCAATCTCGTTGATGGCTTCAGAAAGGTGGCAAAGCCAATCTTCTACCAGCACATCTGGTGAGTCACCAGAGGGTATCAAATCCCGCAGAGCCTTCTGGAACCCAACCAGATCCATTAGTCATCCAAGGTATTTAAAGATGGTTTGGCTAAGGGTGACTTTTGCTTCTGGTTAGACTACAAGTCTGAGACAAATTCTTTTTGAAAAATGTACGCCTATGCTTTCATGACAACAGAGGAACCTTTAAATCTGTTAAAACAGGAGTCTTTACAGCATCTTAAAGACTAACGTGATTTTATTATGTCAGAAGCTTCCATGGGCAAAAGTGTGCCGTGAAATAAAATACCACACACACACACACACACACCCCGTACCTGTGACAGACTAGCATAGCTACTGACTCTAAGTTTGATGTCATTTAGGTATGGATGGCGTGGCTGGAAAAGGTTTCTGAAACAGAAGCTCCTTCCCTGTAACAACCACCACCGGCACAAGCCAGCCCTTTCCGCCCGATCACCCAGGGGGAGAACTCTGCCGATCACCCAGCTGAAAGGGGAATGGGACAGGGCAGTGATGTATCGGGACAGAGGCCCACTGTCTTAAGCAATGTTTGCAGCCAGCCCAGTAGTGATAATATTCGGCACTGCGGTCCTTGTGGCTCAGGACTTGACTCCCTTTCTGGACTTGGGCCAGAATTCTTGAGTCCTGCTTGCAGCACCCAGACCTGAGTCTGGAATGTGCAGCAGCACTGAAAGGGTTCTGCCATTTGGGTTGGGGAAGATGGCCTTCGAAGCAAGGGCGTCCTGGATGACACATCAGCATTGGATGCATTGCAGTCTGGCTTTCGCCCAGCCGTGGGACGGAGACTGTCGGTCGCCCTGACAGATGATCTCCACAGACTGCTGGATCGAGGCAGGTCAGAGCTGCTGCTGCTGCTGCTGCTTGACCTCACAGCGGCGTTCAACACAGTCAACTACGATCTTCTGACTCACTGGCGTACGAGTCTGTGGGGTGGCCCTTCAGCTGCTTTCCTCCTTTCTCTGTGGTTCGAGGACAGAGGGTGGCGCTGGGCGAGGATCTGTCCTCTAGGAAACCCTTATTGTTGTTTAACATCTGCACACACACCCTCACCCAGCTGGCAAGGAGTTTCAGGCTTGGGTGCCATCCGTTATGCTGATGCTAACACCCAGCTATATCTGTGATTGGGTGGCCAGCCGGCTACTGCCCTGCCAAATGTAAAATGTAAGGACTGGAGGCCACGGTGGGGTGATCAAGACTGGGGTGGGGTGGCTGAGGCTGAATCCGGTGAAGATGGAGGCTCTGCGGTGGTGGTGGTGGGGCTTGGGACTGGGGTCCGAGCTCCCGGCTCCTGATGGGGCACCACTGACACCATCCATCCAGAGTTTGGACTTGGCTTTGGGTGCCTCCTTATCAATGGAGGCCCAAGTCACGCATGTTACCAGGCGGGCATTTCCCCATCTTCACCAAGCCCGGCAACTGGCTCCTTTTCTGTCATGCCCTGGCCTAGCCACGGTAATCCGCGCGATGGTCACCTCCAGATGAGACTACTGTAACTCGCCCTGCACTGGCCTACCCTCGAGACTGACCCAGAAAATCCAGCTGATCCAGAATGCTGCGGCACAAGTCCTGGCAGGAACACCACGAACGGCACATATACAGCCAGTGCTGCACCAGCTACACCGGCTTCTAGTGGAGTACTGAGTCGGGTTCAAGGTTCTGGTGTTGACCTTTAAAGGCCTTGAGGGGTCTGGGACCCACGTCTCTCCAGCTCTGCTGGTGATCCCTGGGAGGTCCGGCTGTTCTCGACCGGGGCCAGCGCCTTCTCAGCCCTGGCCCCGACCTGGTGGGATCTCTCCCATGCAGTTCCGCAGGGCCCTCAAAGGCAGAGAGGCTCGGCCAGGCTTTTGGCTGAGGGCAGCAACGGTGACCTCACCCGCCAGCACCCTTCCTTCACACACACACACACACACCCCCGCTCTGAGTTCCCATTCCCCCTGCACAGGACAAATAATATCATAGGATGCCATCTTGGATCTTTTATTCTGTACTGTAATTTTGATTAAGTTGTATATCGCATTTTAATGTTTTTGTATATTTTATGGCATCATGCCTTTTGTATGTCACCTAGAGCCTGGAGTGAGCTGGGTGAGGGCGATTAATAAATCTAATAATAATAAATAATAAAAGTCCAATTCCAGCATTATTGTTGCGTGTGTGAGCAAAAGCGGCAAAATTAAGGGGGGACGGGGGGCCCAAGGGGGAGGAAGAGCTCTTGCCGTCCTGCAGGTGTCCAACCGATGTCTCCAGGGCCGTGAAAACATCACCTCTGCCAGCTCCTTCCCCTGAAGTCGGCAAATTCCCCACCCATATATTAAAGCTGCACCTAAAGGAGGCATGGGCACAGCTCGCCCAAGAGCAGGTGCCGCTTCTACAGCTGGCCAAAAAGCTTGGCTATCAACTCCGCAGGCTCTCACTCTTGGTCAGAAAAGGGACTAGAGACATCAGCTACTTATGCTGAGGGACATTGCATCGGGCTCCCTAACCGCAGGAGCCGCCGCCAGCCTCACCTGTGTCATTCTCTGCTCTGGCTGTCGTCTGCAGAGCTGGGGGTGGTTTCACTCCAGACCCAATACACTCCAGGAGGGTGAAGAGTGTGTACCAGTTGTCCCCAGAGTGGATGTTGGCCGCATTGGTCTTGAGGAGCTCGTGGAGGCCGTACGCAACCTGGTGGCTGGCCCTGTTCAGCAGACTGGGCTTCATCATCAGCAAGATGCGCAAGGACAGCAACACCTGATCGGAGGAGGGGGAAAGGAGAACAAGGCAGGGCAGTGAGTGTTCCAGCAGGGGCCCTGGGGGGGGGGGGGGTTTCCGACTCCGGCCTTCTGCTCTCACTGCAGCACCACCCCAGTCGGTGTTGAGAGGAGAATCCCGTACCGGGACAGGAGAGTGGACTTTTTCATTCCTTGCCCTCCAGCTACGCACTAGCAAAGTTGTCTTCTCCTATGTTTACTAGGTGTGCCTTTACAGAGCTGGAAAAATGTCTGGAAAATACCTTATTGGTATTTTCTGGATATTTTTTCAGCCGGACATAGAGTCCAGTATCTATTTGGCTATCCAAAAATGGCCACCTTGAAAAATCCCAAATTGGGATTTTTCGGGACCACTGTATGGGTGAACATGTCACTTCGAAAAGGCATTTAAAGGGACCGTGAGCCTAAGAGAGCCTTTGCAGTTCACTTGCAGCGTGTAAAAGGCATTTTCAGGGACCGTGATCCCTTCAAATGCCTTTCCCTCCCTCTATTGGAAACAATGGAGGACGACGGGTGTGGCTCTCTTGGGCAGTCTGGTCTAAACGGGGCTGCCCAGCAGAGTCTGTGGGGGGGGGAGAACCCTTGGCTGGGGCTGGCTCCTCTTTGCAGCTTGGGGTGGGGGGGCGGAGCTCTCAGCTCCTCCCCCCCCCCCCAAAAGCTGATCCTCTCATTTTATCTGTTCTCGGGTCCACTGGACCTGAAAAAAATTGGGAATCCCAAATATTTACTGAATCCAAATGTCATACCAATATTGGGATTCTAGAATATCGAGAAATATTGATATTTTTCAGGTTCAATATAAAACCCAAAAAATACCTGGGATTTTTGCACGCCCCTAATGTTTACAGAGACATCTTACTTTAACTTTGCAATCATGAATATGAAGGCTGCAGAGAGAAAATAAATTGCTTTGGTGGCCTCGGATACAGCAAGAAACAGGCCAAACATTACCTTTGGGCAATCCACCTTGTATCCATAACTCCAAACTGAAGGAGAGTTGGACATGAGATCCTTGCTGTTCTAAACCAACTCGGAGTCCTCAGGAAAACTCCGACAGCATCTCACTGATACCCAGTTCCTCACTTGCCTCTCCATCATTCTACGGGATGGCTAATACGTGCTACACAAGACACCAGCCAGCAAAGGCAACACACGCCAGAGGCCCCACAACAGCAGCCTCTCCAACAAGAGCCAGGCAAGTCCCCACAGACCCCTTTACCTGGGCACTGATCTCTTCCCTGCGGAGCAGTCGAATTGCCAGGCGCAGCAGCCCCACCACCGCTCTCTCCACTAGGAAGCAATATTCCACGGCATTCACACACAAATGGTAGAGGTGATCCCGCACTGCCTGCCACACGAAAGCCACACGATCCCTAGAGAGAGAGGGAGAGAGAGAGAGCATGGAAGGGAGCTGCAGTCAGACATACATGGGAAGACGCTTCTGGTGGCCTGCTGCCACCCCCAGCTGGGAAGTGTCCAGACTCTCATGCAAGAAGGTGCAGCCTCAAGACCATCCCTAAACGGAGACAGCAGCATCAAACAACTGGGGCTGAGACTCCCTTGGACTCATTAGCACTGAAGAAGAAGAAGAGTGGCTCGTTTTTATATCCTGCTTTTCTGTATCCTGAGGAGTTTCAAAGCAGCTCACAATCACTTTCCCTTCCTCTCCCCACAACTAAGTGGCCCAAGGCCACCCAGCTGGCTTCCTGTGGAAAAGGAGTGTGAAATAAAACCCAGTTCTTTTTTTAAAAAAATATAATTTTATTAAATGTTAAGACAAACAAACAACAAATCCGATACATCACTAAGAAATGTCAGGTGCGACATACGCACAGTACCTTAAATTGAAAACCATGTATACGGTACATTGCATTATTAACATTCCGCGTTTCGTAAGTTAAAAGTGCAATAAACTTTGGCAATGCTTATTGTTAGGAATGACACACCCCTCTATAAGATACTCAACAACTGGAAACCAAACTGCTTGAATTTTTTTTTTTAATATTTACCTATGTTATTGCTATTCCCCAGTGGTGTTATTTTACCAAGAACAAAGTGTTCCCATAACTTATCCTGCCACAGATTTATAGTAGGGCTGGAAGAGTCTCTCCATTTTTCAGCGATACTCATTCTAGCGATTGCAATTAAAGTCAGTACTAATGTATTTTTTGCTTTATTTCCAGGTGTGCCAGGCCACGCATCCAACAGGAACGTTTCTGGAGTGAATGGTAAGTCTATCCCTGTAATAAGTTTGATCTGTAATGAGATTAGTTTCCAGAACTCATTTATTACTGGGCATGGTCAAAGCAATGGTATTCCCAATAGTCATGTATGGCTGTGAGAGTTGGACTATAAGGAAGGCCGAGCGCCGAAGAATACATAGATTGTTTTGAACTATGGTGCTGGAGAAGACTCTTGAGAGTCCCTTGGACTGCGAGGAGATCAAATCAGTCATTCCTAAAAGAAATCGACCCTGACTGTTCCCTGGGCCAGATAATGAAACTGAAGCTCAAATACTTTGGCCACCCAATGAGAAGGGAGCACTCCCTGGAGAAGAAGACCCTGGTGCTGGGAAAGATTGAAGGTCAAAGAAGACGGGGACGGCAAAGGATGAGGTGGTTAGACAGTGTCACCGATGCAATGAACATGAAATTGAGCAAACTTCAGAAGATGATGGAAGACAGGAGGGCCTGACGTGATCTGGTCCAATGGGGTCGCGAAGAGTCGGACTTGACTGTACGACTGAACAACAAAAATTGCCTAGAAACAAAACTATTTCAGAAAGTACTTAACAAACTCTGTATATATTTTATAAATAATAATAATAATCTTTCAAATTATTGATCGCTCAATCCTGCAGAGCTTGCTGGCTCTGAGCGATTTATAATTGCTCATTTTTACGAGGGACTAACAATGATTTGTGGGGTAAGGGAGGACAACATATATACATCTTAAATCACACACATTCGCAGCCGACGAGGGTTTGTTCAGTTGAAGATGAGACGTGATCCGGTCAGCAATTTTCCTCGGTCTGGTTTGATGGCGTCAACTTTTCTCCAAACTCCTTTGAGTTGTAGCGTCACACTGCCACCGCCTGGCCGGAACGGCCCATTACAGGCTTTCTTCATGCTGAGGAGATCTCTCTAGGCTTTCCTGATCTTGCGAGTTGGACTTCCATTCGTCGGCTAATACTTGCCGAAGCTTTCGAACCACTGGGTAGACAGCGAGCTGGGGACAGGGCTGGTAGCTCACACCAGCACGGGGCTAGAACTGACAGCAAGCCTGTTCAGCTCAGATGTTACTATTCTAACCAGAGGATATATCCTCTGTGCCACCGCTCCCCCGGTCTGATTTCTTTTGTATACTAGTGCTGGGAACCCATGGGGTTCAGGTTTGGACTCCTTGACGGTCTCCCATCCAAGTACTAACCAGGACTGCCCCTGCTTAGCTTCCAAGACCTGATGAGATCAAGCTAGCCTGGGCCATCCAGGTCACAGTACAATACAGGACTACAATTCAGTCTGCTAAATCCAAAGATCTTTGCCAGGCCTCTTGCAAAAGGGGATTCTGATGCTCCTGAGTCATCCTCTACCCGTTCCTATTTGAGGGACCACCACGGTTCTCCCTGTCCCTCCCCTATATCCCATGTCTGGCACATTTCATATAATCAGACCTGAGTATTATGTGGGAACTCTATGCCTCTCCAGATTTCCTGCTCGTTCTCTGCCTAAAGCAGTCAGAAGCAATCAATGGGCTGGACAAGGCACAAAGGTCTCAGCCCTCCCAGGACAGGAACAAGACAGTGCCAATGGTGGTGGGCACCTGTGAGGCTCACCTGTTCTCCAGAACAATCCTCAGAAGCATCTCCAAGCAGAAAGCAGCATCTTCCTCATCATATGTTTCCTCATCGGGAGTCACAGAGATCAGGGCCTGAAGCAGTCAGAGAATAAGCACAGAGATTTGGAGCCTGACATGGAAAGGAAATCCCCCCCACAAGTCTGTGCATGTCAGTTTTTTCCTCCCAGCATCATCTGCAGTAGCTCATGAAGAGGTGAAAACCTGAGTGAGCTTACGTGGACACAACACTGTCACATCCTTCAGTGAAGCTGCAGCAATGGAACAGCAGAAGCCCTAATTCCTCTTTGCTTGGTTTTGCTGGGAACGTGGGACCACCACAGACCTGAACTGGGAGCCCCCCCCAGGGGGGGGGGAGAGAGCAGCCTTTTTTCAGACTCTGCAGTAGATTACATCCATGCCACATGGGAGTCCCAAAAAACCCCTTGACCCATAAACAGAACCAGCCACTGTAATGGAACAGGCCTAGACTAGCAGGATTGTTAAAGCTTGGATCACTCAATCGGACACCTCTGTACCTCGTCTACCAGAGAAAAACCAGAGACGGGGCTTCTTCATTGGTGGTTGTAGCTCAGCTTTGGAAAGCTCTCCCTGTTGAGGCTCCGCGGGCTCCTACCTTTTAAAAGATGTTTTATGAACTGCTCCAAGCCTCAGGACTATTTCATCATCATTTTAGACTGTTTTATTTTATCCCACCTGAATGCCCCAGTTCCCCTTCTTGGACACACACACCTTGACATGGTAAGGGGGTTTGTGTGTGTCAGCAAAGCAGACAGCAATACCGTAAGGAGTTTAGGTTCTGTTAAGAGGCGTGGCGGAACGGGCCTGCTCCAGCCTGCAAGCCCTATTCCACCCTGCCCCGCCAAGGTTTCCCCAGCACCAGTGCCTGCCTGGCCACCACAGGGACGGTTTACTGTCTTGTGAGCCCCTGGAGGAACAGCCCTCTATGACCCGGGGCCTGCAGATCTGCGAGAGCCCCTCTCCCTCTATGAGCCCCAGAGGGCTTTACGGTCTGCCAGTCAACATCTCTTGGGGTCCCCGGCTCCAGGAACGTCTGTCTTGCCTTGGCCAGGGCTTTCCCAGCCCTGGCCCTTACCGGGTGGAATGAGCTCCCGTATGAGACAAGAGCCCTACGGGATCTATTGCGGTTCCGCAGGGCCGGTGAAATGGAGCTCTTCCGCCAGGCACAGAGCAGGCATCCCCCCCTCTCTACTGGGCCTTAGCGGGTCAGATCTGCACTATCATCTAGGGCGGGGGATAAATTAAATAAATAAATAATAAATCTAGGAACCCAAATTTCAATGATACCTCATCTGTTGAGGCTTGGATCAGAATTGTTTATTTTTTAAAATTAATTTCTTTATTAGAATGTTATTGTGTTTTATTTGAGGTTTTTAACTGTTTCTAATTGTTTGTATATTGTATACTGGCCTGATACCCGTGCTTCGCTATGTTATTTAAGTTCCGTAAATCCAGCTATAATACCGATGATGTGAAGTTTGAAATGTGACATTTGTTGTAGGAGTTCTAGTGGAGAAAATTGTAGTGTAAAAAATGAAGTGAGACATGAGTACTTTTCTCTCTCTCTCCCGAAGGACCTCTCTGTAGACCACATGGGTGGTTCTGCCGTCAGGTGCTAGGATCACCAGGCTGCTTGATGAACTCACTCTGGAGCAGGCAACACAGAAAAACAGGTTGCTTACCAGTAACTGGTGATCTTCGAGTGGTCATCTGTGCATTCACACCAATGGGATCTAGTGTGCCTGCGCTGGATCTGCCGGTGCCTAGCAAGCTCTTTTAAAAGGATTTTCGTGCCTGACCCAACTGAGCATGCTCAGGAGCCCCAGTGAGCATGCCCAGAAGGGCAGACACGGACATCCCGCCAGTTCCTACCAACCGCCGCGCATCAATCTCCTAACAAAACAAGTAGAAGAAGACAGCAGCGGCGCAGGAGTGCGGGTGGTGTGAATGCACAGATGACCACTCGAAGATCACCAGTTACTGGTAAGCAACCTGTTTATCTTCTTCGTGGTCTCTGTGCTTCACACCAATGGGAGATTAGCGAGCAGTAGCCTACCTGGAGGCGGGTGCTGTCAGGTGTTTACTGCTTAGCCGATGATAAAACCTGACGTCCCAGACTGTCACTGGTGGACTGGCGGACGTCTAAGGCGTAGTGCCTGATGAAGGTAGTCGGCGTGGCCCAGGTTGCGGCTCTGCAAATGTCTTGCAGCTGTACTCCCTTCAGGAACGCAGTGGATGTAGCGACAGCCCTGGTTGAATGAGCCCGAACTGGGCCCGGCAAGGGCTGCTTCACCAGTAGGTAACAAAGTTCTATGAGGCCTACTATCCACTTGGACAGACGTTGGGCAGTGATAGGGGTGCCCACACGGGGTGCAGCATACGAGACAAACAGCTTAGGGGTTTGCCTCGTGGGGCGTGTCCTACTCAGGTAGAAGAGGAGGGCCCGCTTCACGTCAAGTGTGTGCATGAGTCTGTCTTCCGGTGATTTTGGGTCAGGGTAAAAATCAGGGAGGAAGACTTCGGACTGCAGATGGAATTCAGAGACCACCTTGGGCAAAGGGGTTTGCCTCGTGGGGCGTGTCCTACTCAGGTAGAAGAGGAGGGCCCGCTTCACGTCAAGTGTGTGCATGAGTCTGTCTTCCGGTGATTTTGGGTCAGGGTAAAAATCAGGGAGGAAGACTTCGGACTGCAGATGGAATTCAGAGACCACCTTGGGAGGAATGCCGTCTTCCAGGCCAGGAGCTTCAGCTGACAGGTGGCGAGGGGTTCGAAGGGCCGTCGGGTCAGCTGGCGCAAGACCAGGGGAAGGTCCCATAAAGGTGCTGGAGCTCTGACTGGAGGGTACAAACGTAGGAGACCCTTC